TTCAGAGGTGATCATAAAGGGAAGATCACATGCTCTAGAACAATAGGTAATGGTAATCTCCCTTCTATTACTAATGATTTACTCGTTAATGAATTAATGCATAATATATTGTCCATAAGTCAATTAAGTGACAATGGTTATGATATTATCTTTATTCAAAAGTTCTGTAAAGGTGTTAGTCAGAAGGGTGGCTCCATTCTTTTCAATGTAAAGGGTAAGAAAAACATCTATAAGATTAGTCTTTCTGATCTTAAATAAAAAAATGTTAAGTGGCTCGTGTTTGTTAATGAAGAGCAACATATATGGCATAGACGATTGGGCTATGTTAGCATGAGAAATATTTCTAAGCTAAGTAAGCTTGATTTAGTCAGATGCCTCCATATGTAAGAACATGATAGGTTCTGCATCTGGCCTTAAGTTGTGATGATAACTTTACATGATATCTTAGAGAACAATTGTGTACTCTAATGGTTTCTTTCTAGTTTGTAGCTTTTGCTAAACAGGTTCTGACTCTGGTAGAAGGCGTGTGACATTATCAGGTTCTGAACTCAACACTCTAGAAGAACACCTTTGGTGTGTTACAAAGTTAAGTTAAGATTCTGGAAGGCTTCTTATGCAACAATTCTAAGGAATGTTAGTACAAGAGCTTCTGATTGTGACTTTACAAGGAAGCTTTGGAGGCCTTCTAAAGCTTCGCTTATGTTGTTGCAAGTTCTGAAGATGATGAAGACAAGGTTCTGGTGAACAAGTTCTGAAGATCTGAAGACATTAATTCTGAAGACCAAATGCTGAAAACTCTAAAGACAATGTTATACTGAACAAGTTCTGACGAATCCAATGACTTAGGTTATGAAGATTCAAGGATGATCCAATTGACAACATTCTGGGAGACATCACAAAGGGGGTAACAACGTGATCTAAGATAAGTAATTTATGTTATCACCATGCGTACGTATCATAAATTGAACCTAAAAATGCTAAAGATGCCTTACTTGATGAGCATTGGCTTATGAAATGCAAAAAGAATTGAATCAATTTTAAAAAAAATGATGTTTGGGACCTTGTCCCTCGTCCACAAGATCATCAAGTTATAGGCACTAGATGGGTTTTTAGGAATAAACTCGAAGAACATGGTGTGATGACAAGGAATAAGGATCGGCTAGTTGCTCAAGGGTATAACCAAGAGGAAGGCATTGATTATAAGGAGACTTATGATCTGGTTACCTGACTCCAGGCTATACGCCTTTTACTAGCATATGTATTTTCCGATAACTTTAAATTATATCAAATGGATGTGAAAAGTGTGTTCCTTAATGGGTACTTAAATAAAGAGGTATATGTTTCTCAACTTCTCGATTTTAAAAATTATGAGTATCCTAATCATGCTTTCAAGCTAAAATGAGCTTTGTATGGTCTCAAACAAGCCCCTAGGGCATGGTATGAGCGACATAGCAAGTTCTTGCTTGATCAAGGATATTCAAGAGGGAAGGTAGATGTAACTCTCTTTATTAAATGTCAAGGAAATCATATTCTTGTTCAAATTTATGTTGATGATATCATTTTTAGATCAATTAACATGCAAATTGTCAAGGAGTTCTCTAAGCTTATGCAAAGAGAGTTTGAAATGAGTTTCATGGGGGAGTTAAATTATTTTCTCGGACTTCAAATAAATCAACTCAAGGAAGGAACATTTGTGTGTCAAGAAAAGTATTGTCTCGAATTACTAAAATGATACGACATGGATGATGAAAGTAAATTGACACTCCTATGACAACAAATGGAAACTTGGATAGAGATGAGAAGGGTAAAGATGTAGACGTCAAGAAATATAGAGGTATGATTGGATTTCTTCTATATCTTAAGACATCTAGGCCTGATGTTATGTTTAGCATTTGCATGTGTTCCCTATATCAATCGACTCCCAAGAAATCACACTTAAAATAGTTAAGCATATTCTTAGATACCTCATTGGTATTTCTAAGTTTGGGCTTTGGTATTCTAAGGAATGCGATTGTAGCTTGGTTGGATACTCCGATTCTAACTTTGCCAATTGCAAATCGTGTAGGAAAAGAACTTGTGGAACTTGTCACATGTTTTCGAATTCCTTGGTTAGTTGGCATAGTAAAAAGCAAGTTTCTATAGCTTTGTCAACGACCAAGGCGGAATACGTGGCAGCCAGTAGTTGTTGTGCCCAAATTTTGTGGCTTAATCAACAATTACTTGATTTTGACATTAAACTTTCGCGTATTCCTATTATGTGAGACAACAATAATGCAATTAATATAACCAAGAATCCTTCCTACATTCTCTCACTAAACACATTGAGATACGTCACCATTTCTTTTGCGATCATGTTGAAAAAGGGGCCTTAAAATTGTTCTTAATGAGTTTGGTAAATTAAATAAATAATACATTACATTATCAATCCTAAGTGCACATACGGCCCAGCTGGAGACTTGATGATTTCATTAATAGAGTTAGTAGTGTTGTGTATTGGGTTCAATGCCTATAATGGTCTTTTTTGGCAATTTTATTATTTTAATTCCACAAAGGTGGCTAATTAAAAGTTTCAAGTTTGGTCTATTTTAAAATCACAAATAACAATTTAGAATTTTTATAGTGTGGATAATTCTAATATTATTTTATTATTTTGTTATAATTTTGTAAAACTTTCAAACATCACTTAAATTTAATATTATTTTAAAAAAAATTTAGTTATATCATTTTAATAAAAATTATGTGATTTTGATTATATTAAATTTTTTAATGATAAATATTTAAATAGTTAGATGTTAAAATTATTCTTTTAATTTGTAAAAAAAAACTATAATTTTATGGTTTCGCTTGAAAAAACACTTTTGGTAGATGAATGATCTTTTAAAGAATCATCATTTGCTAATTAAGAAGCTTCATCAAAAAGAATATATGTTTCGAACAATTAAGATGACGAAGAAGCTTCGGTCGGCAGAATCTCTGAAAGAAGAAATGATGAAAGATTTTATAAATAATATCAAATGGAATCGAATCAATGCAATTGGAAAATGAAAGTTCTATCATGACCAACCATTTTAATCAAATTCTTTTCTCGTATATATATATCTTTAAAGTAAAAATAGAACACAAAAAAAGAACAATGTTAGTGTTCAGTTTTTTTATTGGGTCCATTTTCATTATTTGGTGATGATATATTTTTTTCCAAGCTAGGCACACGTGTGTGGATCATCGGGAGTTCCATTGTGATGTGTTGCGTAATAGTGATGCTAGAGAAGCAACTCAAGAAGTTTGTTCTTGCATAGCATTCATTATTATTCATGCACTGTATTACTTTTTTTGGTAATGTGTTGTGTTGGTTATTTATCAACTTTACGTCATTTCATATATATGGGGATATGTGAATACATGTTCTTCTTTGTAAAAACGTCTTTGTGTGATATATTAGTATTTGTGTCGAATCATGATACTTCACATGGTTTGCTTTTTTTTTTATATTGTCAAAGGGGGAGAAGTATGTGCGAGATGAAGTTGGGAAGAACAAAGTCAAGGGAAGCCTTAGATGAAGACATGAAATACAACGTCGTATGTTTTGCCATCATAAAAAAGGGGGAGTATGTGAGTGCAACTTCACCATTAGATATTTTGCATGATGTCAAAATTTGGAAAACTTAACATTTATGTATATTTGACAATATCTCTATGTATTTTGGTGCACCCTTGCATTAGAGGTCTTAGAAAGCATTCAAAATAAGTTTAAATTTGGCCAAAAACATGAAAAATTACTTTTTGCACAAAAAATGACAGCATGTGCCAGTTGTAGCGGTGAAAATCAGAGATCAAGCTATTGATTAACTTGAATTGCAAATAAGGAAGAGTCGCCACCGCGCTTTATTATTTCCAAGGGAAAAGAGAAAAGTGTGAAATAAAACCCATAAATATGCAAAGCAAGTGCAATACTAAAAGTAAATAAAAATACAATGCATTTGAAAGAGATAGAAGGTTCGGGGGTTGGTTATACAAAGGGAAGATACTAGCACCCTATGCATCTATAGTATCCTATAGGAACCTTTTGAAATATCTGTTTTTGGTTAAAATTGATTTGCTTGGTAAATGAGTGTGGAGATGAGATTTTAAAAATGCGACGACCTAGTGTCGTAGTTTTTGGCTTAAAAGAGGTGTGAGTTTTAAAATTAGGATTTAGAAGACTTGTCTTTAGATTAATAAAACTAAAAAAATGTACAAAGGGGTTTTCGCAAAATCGTATTAAATATATTCTATGACATAAAATCAATGAATTCAATTTTTTTTCCTTTGGAGTTAGACGTTAACAAAATATAAAGACTAAATGATCGACAAAGGGAAATTAAATAAATAGCAATTAAATAACTAAATAATTAGAAACCAAAAATTAAATAAAATAAATAAAGACAAAATTATACTAATATATATTTTTGGTATTTTTTAAAGAGGGCAAGAAAAAAATAATTATAAACCTAATCTAATATATTTTAGTATTATATTTTTATGAATTTTTAAATGAAATAAGGCAAAAAAAACTTGAAAATTAGAAATAATAAAATAAAAGTGCAACAACTAGGACTTGAACTCAGGTTCTATGGGTTAAAACAAAGTTGTCTTACCACTTAACCATGTTTATTTTTCTGTTGTATTTATACTTTAATTAAAATACATAAAATAGAGTTTGGGTTAAGAGGGATAAAAAGCAGAATAATGATATAATGGTAAAAGTGTCTCAAACCCAGGACCTTAAGCATATCAGACTAACGCCCTAACCACTTCACCAAGCTGTTCATTCATTATATTCATTTAATCAAAAACTATAAAAAGTAAAACTGACAAATAGGTTGGGCTAAAAATTCAAGCCCAAACCCGGATCCACTTTAGAGGGAATAGAGAGGTTTTTTCTAAACCCTAATTGAAGATGAAGAGGCACCATGAATATGAATATGGGAAAGGGTACAAATTAAATTTATTTGACTTTCCAATTAAAATTGATGTAAATAAGAATTGAAAAGAAAACCACAACAAATCACGTTTTCTCTCTGCTCTTTCACGCTTCTCTCGATCGCTAAACAAAGAAGAAAAAATGTCCTCTCTTTCATCATCTTCATACGCAAAAGGAAGGTAACAACAATACTCCCCCTGCTCGCTCTCTCGATTATCTCACTCGTTCCCTCTGTATTTCTCTCTAATCCAAACTTTATCTTGTTCATACTAACAACAAAGCCGTGGCCTTTCTGTTTTCCGACCTCACTCCGTAAACCAATCAACAACAACAACAAAGCTCAGATTCTAAAATTTCGGTCCACCCTTTTTTCAGCTTTCGTCAACCGAAACTGACTCTCTCAATCTCTCTATTTGCGTTTTTCCATGTATCTACGGTCTTCCAACAAAACAGAAAAAAAAAACAAAGTTCACGAAACTCTTGGTTCAAGTGCTCTATTTTCAATTTTCCACGCCAAATCTCTTTGTCTCTCATGAACCGAACACACAACAACACACTCTCATGTTCTCTTTTCAGTTTTCCATCAATCTTTCATTCTCAATTCTCATGGTTAAACAACAAAATACCTCAACTAAATTTTGATTTCACATGGTTAGAACGACAACAAAACTCACGGTTATGAGAAGAAACAATAGAAAACCAGAGGTAATGTTCTTATTTCTCCTTCTCTTCTTGTACTACAATTCTAGAAAAAATGCATTGTTGCTGGAATTTCGGTGAATTGCAGGTTGTTTTAAGTTGGAGTTGGGGGAAGCTTGAAATGGTTTTTGATGATGTTTCGGAGGAAGATTCTGATATTTCTTAGTACAATTTTTTTGTCTTTGTATAATGTTTTTGGTGGTGATAGTGTGATTGTATTAGATGAACATGAATTTTCTGGTTTTTATGTATTGAGCATAAATTTGTTTTGGTGTTTGCTGTTGTATGATCCTTGGTTTTTTGGACAGAAGTTAGAGGATTTTTTGTGTATCTTTTTCTCTCAATCTCCTCTTCTTCTGTTGAATGGTGTCTTCATTTTATAGAGAAAGATGATAAAATTTGGGGGGGGGGGGGGGAAGTTAGTGTATTTGAACTGGTTTAGTATTCTAACGCTAGCTTTCTTGTTGCAGGTTGATGTATGTTCATTTTTGGGCAAATTTTGGACAGGTTTGGACTTGTATAGCAGTGTGGTATAGTAGGGCTGCAATGCAGGTTTTGGACAGTTTGACAACATGGTTTTGGACTGGTTCTTTTGCAGGTTTTAGAGCAGGTTGACAACATATTTTGGAGTTTTATGGACTAGCTTTTGATAGGTTTTTGCAGCATAGAAGGGCAGCAACAGTTTAGCAAAAAGTTAGAAGGTTGTAGCATGTTATTGGAATTTCATTTTCCTCTTGTACTTTCTGTTTTTTTTACATGTATTTTCCCTCTCTTTTCCTTTTGAAATTGGACTAATTTTGTACTCATGTGGCTTATTGTTTACTTTGTGGATAACTTTGCATTATAGCATTATTTGACAAAGAAATAATTGGCCTTGAGATTGATTGCAAGCTTGGCAAGAATGTTGGAACAAGGTTTGGTGATGAATGAAGATGAGGATAATTTAGCACAGGCTTAGGATTTGCAATGATCTATGTAAATTTAAACTATTCTTGAATGTATTTGTACATGTATCTTGAAACTTGAATCATGAATGAATTTGGAGATATTCGAATGAATATGGATTTTTAGAACTTGATAAGTCTTGCATTGATTCTTATGACATGGAAGCAAAAGTCTTGAATTATTTGATCTCGCGATCTGGAAAAAATGGACTTGAAATGGAGAATTTTTTGAATGAATTTTAAATGATAAATGGACATCTTGTATTTTCTCCTAGAATTCCAAACAAATTACATGAATTGATCTTCTAAGTTGAGCAAACTTGCACCATAAGAAAATTGATCCTTCTGAATATCTTGAACCAAAAGCAAATTCATATGAATGAATTGCGCCTCACACACTTGGATTGATTTGAAATCAAAGGAATCATTTGATTGAATCCTCAAACCTTCTTTTCTAAAACCCTAAATCACATCTTCAATTCACAGTAATTTACAATACAAGTCAATGGTACCCCAAATGAACAAATATTGCCTTGAGAACCTCGATCAAAATCCATCATGATCTAATAATCGTTAATGCTCAAACACAAATGACTTGAAATATGTAACGAGCCATCAAAGAATCCTAGACAAAAACATCATGATAAACATAAGAATGAACATCTTTGAGAAAACAATTACGGCATGAATTGAATTTAGAGGTTAATAACATTCTAAATAAAAAACAATGAACAATAATGTTTTAATAATTCCATGTCTTTCTAAGAATAACTTGACTTTGATTCTTGACGAACACTTGTAGATGACATCAATTGTGACAACATGTAAAAAGAATCACTTCAAAATATTAAAAGTCGAGGAAGTTATGATCCGTGGAAGTTGGGCACAACTACTTTGAAATTAGGTCAAAATTCACAAAATGACCTCTAAAGTATTCGAAATTCTCATGATCCTCCGTACATAATTATCTCTTGACTTGTAAATAGAAGTTGGGGATGATGTCAAGGAGAGTCATAAGACAAAAGAACCACTCAAAAATATTGAATGATGAAGAAGTTACAATCATTTGAACTTGATCTTTAAAATGTTGACTTTTGGTCAAAGTGCTTTGAATCGACTTGCATATTTGATCTTTCCTCGCATTCTCAGACAAATTGATGCACATATGGGCCAGTGATGATGAAATCTTGACTGCACTTTTGGTTAAGGGCTAAACTTTGATGAAATAGTCTTTGAGAATTGGTGATTCACCATACTTGAGCACTTGAGGGATCCAAAACCCTAATTCAGGCGCAACACCTGATGCTCTTGATTCAGACCTGTCTCTGCACATTAAAACAAAGAAACACAAACATACATCTTTGTATGGGATTAGAGATGTTAGTGATGCATAAGATAAGATGTTCGCAACACTTGATAATCTCTGCATAAGCAATGCTCGAGGGTGAGAGGGTTAAAAAACAATTGTATCTCATGACCTTGATGATATATGAGAATGCAAATGAATGTGGGATCTTAGGTAAAAAATTAGGGTATGACAGCGGTACATCCACTTTTCAGGTCGATACATATACTACATTATTAAAGGTTGTAGTATCTGTTTGGCATTGTTCAACACATAAACCATTCCAGGTCAGCATATTGTGAAGAATAGAAGTGTGTGCCAACACATACGATTTTCAGGCTGACACATGTGTTGCATTATTAAAGCCTATAGCTTTCATTTCTCATGTGTCGGCATATAACTCATATGTACCGACACATCATGATTGGTTGGTCAATTTTTAAGTGTTTTTTTTTTAATTATGAAGCTTGCCTCTTTTCCATCATTCTTCCTTAACTATAAATACATCATACATGCATCATTTTAAATTGATGAAACTATAAACACTTACCACCATTTCTATTCATCTTCAACCTCCAACCTATACATACACACTAACAAACTACACATTAAAATTCTGGCACTTACATGATATGGCAGAACGAATGTTACAAACATCCGAATATGATGTCATGACAGATGTCACAATATCTATCAACAAAATGACTAAAAATACCAAACTGATATATTATGCAGAATTATAAAAGTAGAATGATAAAGAAGACAATCAATTATTAACCGAGTTCGGTGCAACTCACCTACATCTGGGGGCTACAAAGCCAGGAAGAAAATCCACTATTAGCAGTATTAATTCAAAGCTAAACTCCCCCGTTTACAACCTTTCACTTAATTTCTACCAAGTGCAACTTCTACCTAGGCACATCCTAGATATGATAACTCCTCTCACTTACAATCCGCATAATCATATCAAACTCCCAATCACAGGGAAAGACAATCATAATCCCAATAATTTCCAAGAAGAATATACTTCTCAATTACAAAAAAAAAGCTTAGTTAAGACTCTTAGATAAGAACAATACCTGGGTTGCTTAGAAGCTTCGACCAAGAATAATACTCAAATCTTTGCTTAAAAGCTTAGAGGAGAGAAGTACTCAACTCATTACCTAAAGGTTTATGAGTACGAACACTAAGTCTACCACAAGTATCAAAATATACAAGGGTAACTTACACCATAATGAACACGAGAGACTCTCAAACCTAAACCCTTATTTTACAATCTGTTAAGAACTATTTTTCCTTAGGTTTTGGTCTTCCTTTTATAATACTTTAGTTGTCCATGGGCTTCTAAGTCTCTGCCCAATTATTCCTTGATCCATGCACTGATTGTTACAGAGAATATCTCCTTAAATCTTGGAACAAATCTTCAAGTATCTTAAATGAGCTTGTTATACGGTGGGAGAACTGACTTAAGTTTGCGTTTTATAGCAAATGTTGCTGATAGCAAGAGTTGGCACAAACTATTCTTTTATCTAAGAAGGAAAGGTTGAAAAGAACAGGAAAGACCTTCGAGAATTTTTCTGAGTTCAGGGGGTAGGTTATGAAAAGTGAAGGTGTTAGCACCCTTTTCATCCATAGTTATCTACGGGTTCTTAATTGCTAGCTCACTTTGTTTTAAAATGCTTTTGTGTGTATGTTTGAAAATGCCTAAATGCATAAACTTTGTAATGATTCTCGTATCAATTGAGAACTCATCCAAGGTGTTTGTTTTGAAAATATTTCAGAAAAAAGTGTTCTGTGTAAAAATATGTTTTATGTGAGCAAGCGATTAACAATATTCTAACCTTACTCGAAAGTCTTTCGTGTTATTTTCCTCCTCCTTAAGATAGTGCTACCATATCATTAGTTAGTAGGAAGCCCTATCATTGGATGTGAAGGGACAGACGTAGGTCATCGTACAATCATAAAGGTAACTTGTAAGGACGCTTTAGAAATTTTCGTAAGGGACTAAGATTGTTTACCGAAGGCAGCATTGAAGGGTCATCAAGGGACTACGATCTTTTATATCGAGGGTCTTTGCTAAGGCGTCCTCACGTTCGAGGGACATGACTTTTTTATTCGAAAGGAAACAAGTGAAATCACCCTAGAGGTGCGTATGTGAATAATGATTCAGTTTAATTATTTAATCTTGATTAGGGTTATCTATATTTGTTTTTATATCTTATCATACATGCCCTAATTACTATCAATAATAAAGAAAATAGTAAATTGCAAAAAATTAAAAATCCTACGCTATTATAGAGCTTCGGGGGAAGGGGGGGGGTACAAAACAACAAAATCAGGGGAAAAGGAAAGTTAAACCCTAATTAAAACTATTACATTCCGTAGCAGTTACATAATAGAAAAAAAGTAATACGGAAATAATAAAGCGCGTGAAATAGTAAAATAAGAGGAAAACTGATTGATGAAAAAGACTTGATAATTAACCTAACGTCTAATTAATTTTAGTTGATTAAGAAAAGTTAGGTAATTAAATTAGGCAAACCATAAAATCTAGGTTGATTTTAATTAATCAAAAAAGTTAGGTAATTAAATTAATCGAAACTAATTATCCTAATTAATTTAATAAATAATAATCAAAGTTAATTTATGAGAAAGAACACTAAATCTTATTCATTTTAATGTTGATTAAAAATAATTAGGGTTTATTAAGAAATTAGGGTTAAGAAAGAACACATAAAGTTAGTGAAGAAAATAGAAAAAAAGAATGTTAGGGGTGGGTGTTAAACCCCTACCCCCTGCATCTCCAGCGTGCATGCCTACCAATTGCCAAGCGCTCGTTTTCCTTTAGAAACAGGAACAAAACAATATATATTAAGCTTGCATGTCATTTTAGAAAAATTAAACAAAATAATGTCAAAAGCCTGGATCGAATCCAGGCCCTTCAGTACCAATGCCTTATCGTGCGTGCTCTTGCCACTGGGGTGGTTGTTTCATCCGTGCATATAATTAACCAAAACAAACATAATACAACAAAACTCAGAGGGATCAGAGAAGCGCCTGAGCCCTAGCTCTGGTCGTCTTCTCTAGTGAGCATATTTCCATATCCTGCAAAACAAGGCATGTTAATGATTAAAGAAGACCCTACCCCCTAACTCGAGGGTCCTAAATTCAAATATAGGCTCAGTTTTGGCTGAAAACGCTTGGATCATGCGCTTCGAAGGAAAAATTATAATTCGGTCCCTCAATGGTAATTCATGATTTGAACATCATAAATCCCATGTAATGGTTGTAATCTATACTAAACACGTTATAAACACACATAATCAGTAAAC